AATGGGGCGGGGTGATGGAAGGAGGGAGAATGGGGCGGGGTGATGGAAAGCGGGAGAATGGGGCGTTGTGATGGAAAGCGGGAGAATGGGGCGGTGTGATGGAAAGCGGGAGAATGGGGCAGGGTGATGGAAAGCGGGAGAATGGGGCGGGGTGATGGAAAGCGGGAGAATGGGGCGGGGTGATGGAAAGCGGGAGAATGGGGCGGGGTGATGGAAAGCGGGAGATTGGGGCAGGGTGATGGAAAGCGGGAGAATGGGGCGGGGTGATGGAATGCGGGAGATTGGGGCAGGGTGATGGAAAGCGGGAGGATGGGGCGGGGTGATGGAAAGCGGGAAAATGGGGCGGGGTGATGGAAAGCGGGAGAATGGGGCTGGGTGATGGAAAGCAGGAGAATGGGGCGGGGAGATGGAAAGCGGGAGAATGGGGCGCGGTGATGGAAGGAGGGAGAATGAGGCGGGGTGATGGAAGGAGGGAGAATGGGGCGGGGTGATGGAAAGCGGGAGAATGGGGCGGGGTGATGGAAAGCGGGAGAATGGGGCGGAGTGATGGAAAGCGGGAGAATTGGGCGGGGTGATGGAAAGCGGGAGAATGGGGCGGGGTGATGGAAAGCGGGAGAATAGGGCGGGGTGTTGGAAAGCGGGAGAATGGGGCGAGGTGATGGAAAGCGGGAGAATGGGGCGGGTGATGGAAAGCGGGAGAATGGGGTTGGGTGATGGAAGGAGGGAGAATGGGGAGGGGTGATGGAAAGCGGGGGAATGGGGCGGGATGATGGGAAGCGGGAGAATGGGGCGGGGTGATGGAAAGCGGGAGAATGGGGCGGGGTGATGGAAAGGGGGAGAATGGGGCGGGGTGATGGAAAGCGGGAGAATGGGGCGGGGTGATGGAAAGTGGGAGAATGGGGCGGGGTGATGGAAAGCAGGAGAATAGGGCGGGGAAATGGAAAGTGGGAGAATGGGGCGGGGTGATGGAAAGCGGGAGAACGGGGCGGGGTGATGGAAGGAGGGAGAATGGGGCGGGGTGATGGAAGGAAGGAGGGCGGGGTGATGGGAAGGAGAATGGGGCGGGGTGATGGAAGGAGGGAGAATGGGTCGGGGTGATGGAAAGCGGGAGAATGGGGCGGGGTGATGGAAAGCGGGAGAATGGGGCGGGGTGATGGAAAGCGGGAAAATGGGGCGGGGTGATGGAAAGCGGGAGAATGGGGCTGGGTGATGGAAAGCAGGAGAATGGGGCGGGGTGATGGAAAGCGGGAGAATTGGGCGGGGTGATGGAAGGAGGGAGTATGAGGCGGGGTGATGGAAGGAGGGAGAATGGGGCGGGGTGATGGAAAGCGGGAGAATGGGGCGGGGTGATGGAAAGCGGGAGAATGGGGCAGGGTGATGGAAAGCGGGAGAATGGGGCGGGGTGATGGAAAGCGGGAGAATGGGGCGGGGTGTTGGAAAGCAGGAGAATGGGGCGGGGTGATGAAAAGCGGGAGGATGGGTCGGGGTGATGGAAAGCGGGAGAATGGGGCGGGTGATGGAATGCGGGTGAATGGGGCGGGGTGATGGAAAGCGGGAGAATGGGGCGGGGTGATGGAAAGCAGAAGAATGGGGCGGGGTGATGGAAAGCAGGAGAATGAGGCGAGGTGATGGAAAGCGGGAGAATGGGGCGAGTGATGGAAAGCGGGAGAATGGGGCGGGGTGATGGAAGGAGGGAGAATGGGGAGGGATGATGGAAAGCGGGGGAATGGGGCGGGATGATGGGAAGCGGGAGAATGGGGCGGGGTGATGGAAAGCGGGAGAACGGGGCGGGGTGATGGAAAGGGGGAGAATGGGGCGGGGTGATGGAAAGCGGGAGAATGGGGCGGGGTGATGGAAAGTGGGAGAATGGGGCGGGGTGATGGAAAGCAGGAGAATAGGGCGGGGAAATGGAAAGTGGGAGAATGGGGCGGGGTGATGGAAAGCGGGAGAACGGGGCGGGGTGATGGAAGGAGGGAGAATGGGGCGGGGTGATGGAAGGAAGGAGGGCGGGGTGATGGGAAGGAGAATGGGGCGGGGTGATGGAAGGAGGGAGAATGGGTCGGGGTGATGGAAAGCGGGAGAATGGGGCGGGGTGATGGAAAGCGGGAGAATGGGGCGGGGTGATGGAAAGCGGGAAAATGGGGCGGGGTGATGGAAAGCGGGAGAATGGGGCTGGGTGATGGAAAGCAGGAGAATGGGGCGGGGTGATGGAAAGCGGGAGAATTGGGCGGGGTGATGGAAGGAGGGAGTATGAGGCGGGGTGATGGAAGGAGGGAGAATGGGGCGGGGTGATGGAAAGCGGGAGAATGGGGCGGGGTGATGGAAAGCGGGAGAATGGGGCAGGGTGATGGAAAGCGGGAGAATGGGGCGGGGTGATGGAAAGCGGGAGAATGGGGCGGGGTGTTGGAAAGCAGGAGAATGGGGCGGGGTGATGAAAAGCGGGAGGATGGGTCGGGGTGATGGAAAGCGGGAGAATGGGGCGGGTGATGGAATGCGGGTGAATGGGGCGGGGTGATGGAAAGCGGGAGAATGGGGCGGGGTGATGGAAAGCAGAAGAATGGGGCGAGGTGATGGAAAGCAGGAGAATGAGGCGAGGTGATGGAAAGCGGGAGAATGGGGCGAGTGATGGAAAGCGGGAGAATGGGGCGGGGTGATGGAAGGAGGGAGAATGGGGAGGGGTGATGGAAAGCGGGGGAATGGGGCGGGATGATGGGAAGCGGGAGAATGGGGCGGGGTGATGGAAAGCGGGAGAACGGGGCGGGGTGATGGAAAGCGGGAGAATGGGGCGGGGTGATGGAAGGAGGTAGAATGAGGCGGGGTGATGGAAGGAGGGAGAATGGGGCAGGGTGATGGAAAGCGAGAGAATGGGGCGGGGTGATGGAAAGCGGGAGAATGGGGCGGGCTGATGGAAAGTGGGAGAATGGGGCGGGGTGATCAAAGGAGGGAGAATGGGGCGGGGTGATGGTAGGAGGGAGAATGCGGCGGGGTGATGGAAAGTGGGAGAATGTGGCGGGGTGATGGAAAGCTGGAGAATGGGGCTGGGTGGTGGAAAGCGGGAGAATGGGGCGGGGTGATGGAAAGCGGGAGAATGGGGCGGGGTGATGGAAAGCGGGAGAATGGGGTAGGGTGATGGAAGGAGAGAGATTGGGGCGGGGTGATGGAAAGCGGAAAAATGGGGCGGGGTGATGGAAAGCGGGAGAATGGGGCGGGGTGATGGAAAGCGGGAGAATGGGGCGGGGTGATGGAAAGCGGGAGAATGGGGCGGGGTGATGGAAGGAGGTAGAAGGAGGCGGGGTGATGGAAGGAGGGAGAATGGGGCAGGGTGATGGAAAGCGAGAGAATGGGGCGGGGTGATGGAAAGCGGGAGAATGGGGCGTAGTGATGGAAAGCGGGAGAATGGGGCGGGGTGATGGAAAGCGGGAGAATGGGGCGTGGTGATGGAAAGCGGGAGAATGGGGCGGGGTGATGGAAAGCGGGAGAATGGGGCGGGGTGATAGAAAACGGGAGAATGGGGCGGGGTGATGGAAAGCGGGAGCATGGGGCGGGGTGATGGAAGGAGGTAGATTGAGGCGGGGTGATGGAAGGAGGGAGAATGGGGCGGGGTGATGGAAAGCGGGAGATGGGGCGGGGTGATGGAAAGCGGGAGAATGGGGCGGGGTGATGGAAAGCGGGAGAATGGGGCGGGGTGATGGAAAGCGGGAGAATGGGGCGGGGTGATGGAAAGCGGAAAAATGGGGCGGGGTGATGGAAAGCGGGAGAATGGGGCGGGGTGATGGAAAGCGGGAGAATGGGGCGGGGTGATGGAAAGCGGGAGAATGGGGCGGGGTGATGGAAAGCGGAAGAATGGGGCGGGGTGATGGAAAGCGGGAGAATGGGGAGGGGTGATGGAAAGCGGGAGAATGGGGCGGGGTGATGGAAAGCGGGAGAATGGGGTGGGGTGATGGAAAGCGGGAGAATGGGGCGGGGTGATGGAAGGAGGGAGAATGGTGCGGGGTTATGGAAAGCGGGAGAATGGGGCGGGGTGATGGAAAGCGGGAGAATGGGGCGGGGTGATGGAAGGAGGGAGAATGGGGCGGGGTGATGGAAAGCGGGAGATTGGGGCGGGGTGATGGAAGGAGGGAGAATGGGGCGGGTGATGGAAGGAGGGAGAATGGGCCGGGGTTATGGAAAGCGGGAGAATGGGGCGGGGTGATGGAAAGCGGGAGAATGGAGCTAGTGATGGAAAGTGAGAGAATTGGGCGGGGTGATGGAAAGCGGGAGAATGGGGCGGGGTGATGGAAAGCGGGAGAATGGGGCGGGGTGTTGGAAAGCGGGAGAATGGGGCGAGGTGATGGAAAGCGGGAGAATGGGGCGGGTGATGGAAAGCGGGAGAATGGGGCAGGGTGATGGAAGGAGGGAGAATGGGGAGGGGTGATGGAAAGCGGGGGAATGGGGCGGGATGATGGGAAGCGGGAGAATGGGGCGGGGTGATGGAAAGCGGGAGAATGGGGCGGAGTGATGGAAAGCGGGAGAATGGGGCGGGGTGATGGAAAGCGGGAGAATGGGGCGGGGTGATGGAAAGCGGGAGAATGGGGCGGGGTGTTGGAAAGCGGGAGAATGGGGCGGGGTGATGAAAAGCGGGAGGATGGGTCGGGGTGATGGAAAGCCGGAGAACGGGGCGGGGTGATGGAAAGCGGGAGAATGGGGCGGGTGATGGAATGCGGGTGAATGGGGCGGGGTGATGGAAAGCGGGAGAATGGGGCGGGGTGATGGAAAGCAGAAGAATGGGGCGGGGTGATGGAAAGCAGGAGAATGGGGCGGGGTGATGGGAAGGAGAATGGGGCGGGGTGATGGAAGGAGGGAGAATGGGTCGGGGTGATGGAAAGCGGGAGAATGGGGCGGGGTGATGGAAAGCGGGAGAATGGGGCGGGGTGATGGAAAGCGGGAGAATGGGGCGGGGTGATGAAAGGAGGGAGAATGGGGCGGGGTGATGGAAAGCGGGAGAATCGAGAAGGGTGATGTTAGCGGGAGAATGGGGCGGGGTGATGGAAAGTGGGAGAATGGGGCGGGGTGATGGAAGGAGGGAGAATGGGGCGGGGTGATGGAAAGCGGGAGAATGGGGCGGTATGATGGAAAGCGGGAGAATGGGGCGGTGTGGTGGAAAGCGGGAGAATGGGGCAGGGTGATGGAAAGCGGGAGAATGGGGCGGGGTGATGGAAAGCGGGAGAATGGGGCGGGGTGATGGAAAGCGGGAGAATGGGGCGGGGTGATGGAAAGCGGGAGAATGGGGTGGGCCGGTGGAAAGCGGGAGAATGGGGCGGGGTGATGGAAGGAGGGAGAATGGGGCGGGGTGATGGAAGGAGGGAGAATGGGGCGGGTGATGAAAGGAGGGAGAATGGGGCGGGGTTATGGAAAGCGGGAGAATGGGGCGGGGTGATGGAAAGCGGGAGAATGGGGCGGGGTGATGGAAGGAGGGAGAATGGGGCGGGGTGATGGGAAGCGGGAGATTGGGGCAGGGTGATGGAAAGCGGGAGAATGGGGCGGGGTGATGGAAAGCGGGAAAATGGGGCGGGGTGATGGAAAGCGGGAGAATGGGGCTGGGTGATGGAAAGCAGGAGAATGGGGCGGGGTGATGGAAAGCGGGAGAATGGGGCGGGGTGATGGAAGGAGGGAGTATGAGGCGGGGTGATGGAAGGAGGGAGAATGGGGCGGGGTGATGGAAAGCGGGAGAATGGGGCGGGGTGATGGAAAGCGGGAGAATGGGGCGGAGTGATGGAAAGCGGGAGAATGGGGCGGGGTGATGGAAAGCGGGAGAATGGGGCGGGGTGATGGAAAGCGGGAGAATGGGGCGGGGTGTTGGAAAGCGGGAGAATGGGGCGGGGTGATGAAAAGCGGGAGGATGGGTCGGGGTGATGGAAAGCCGGAGAACGGGGCGGGGTGATGGAAAGCGGGAGAATGGGGCGGGTGATGGAATGCGGGTGAATGGGGCGGGGTGATGGAAAGCGGGAGAATGGGGCGGGGTGATGGAAAGCAGAAGAATGGGGCGGGGTGATGGAAAGCAGGAGAATGGGGCGAGGTGATGGAAAGCGGGAGAATGGGACGAGTGATGGAAAGCGGGAGAATGGGGCGGGTGATGGAAGGAGGGAGAATGGGGAGGGGTGATGGAAAGCGGGGGAATGGGGCGGGATGATGGGAAGCGGGAGAATGGGGCGGGGTGATGGAAAGCGGGAGAATGGGGCGGGGTGATGGAAAGCGGGAGAATGGGGCGGGGTGATGGAAGGAGGTAGAATGAGGCGGGGTGATGGAAGGAGGGAGAATGGGGCAGAGTGAGGGAAAGCGAGAGAATGGGGCGGGGTGATGGAAAGCGGGAGAATGGGGCGGGCTGATGGAAAGTGGGAGAATGGGGCGGGGTGATCAAAGGAGGGTGAATGGGGCGGGGTGATGGAAGGAGGTAGAATGCAGCGGGGTGATGGAAGGAGGGACAATGGGGCGGGGTGATGGAAAGTGGGAGAATGTGGCGGGGTGATGGAAAGCTGGAGAATGGGGCTGGGTGGTGGAAAGCGGGAGAATGGGGCGGGGTGATGGAAAGCGGGAGAATGGGGCGGGGTGATGGAAAGCGGGAGAATGGGGCAGGGTGATGGAAGGAGAGAGAATGGGGCGGGGTGATGGAAAGCGGAAAAATGGGGCGGGGTGATGGAAAGCGGGAGAATGGGGCGGGGTGATGGAAAGCGGGAGAATGGGGCGGGGTGATGGAAAGCGGGAGAATGGGGCGGGGTGATGGAAGGAGGTAGAATGAGGCAGGGTGATGGAAGGAGGGAGAATGGGGCAGGGTGATGGAAAGCGAGAGAATGGGGCGGGGTGATGGAAAGCGGGAGAATGGGGCGTAGTGATGGAAAGCGGGAGAATGGGGCGGGGTGATGGAAAGCGGGAGAATGGGGCGTGGTGATGGAAAGCGGGAGAATGGGGCGGGGTGATGGAAAGCGGGAGAATGGGGCGGGGTGATGGGAGAATGGGGCGGGGTGATGGAAAGCGGCAGAATGGGGCGGGGTGATAGAAAACGGGAGAATGGGGCGGGGTGATGGAAAGCGGGAGCATGGGGCGGGGTGATGGAAGGAGGTAGATTGAGGCGGGGTTATGGAAGGAGGGAGAATGGGGCGGGGTGATGGAAAGCGGGAGAATGGGGCGGGGTGATGGAAAGCGGGAGAATGGGGCGGGGTGATGGAAAGCGGGAGAATGGGGCGGGGTGATGGAAAGCGGGAGAATGGGGCGGGGTGATGGAAGGAGGGAGAATGGGGCGGGGTGATGGAAAGCGGGAGAATAGAGAAGGGTGATGTTAGCGGGGGAATGGTGCGGGGTGATGGAAAGTGGGAGAATGGGGCGGGGTGATGGAAAGCAGGAGAATGGGGCGGTGTGATGGATAGCGGGAGAATGGGGCGGTGTGATGGAAAGCGGGAGAATGGGGCTGGGTGATGGAAAGCGGGAGAATGGGGCGGGGTGATGGAAAGCGGGAGAATGGGGCGGGGTGATGGAAAGCGGGAGAATGGGGCCGGGTGATGGAAAGCGGGAGAATGGGGTGGGCCGATGGAAAGCGGGAGAATGGGGTGGGATGATGGGAAGAGGGAGAATGGGGCGGGGTGATGGAAAGCGGGAGAATGGGGCGGGGTGATGGAAAGCGGGAGAATGGGGCGGGGTGATGGAAAGCGGGAGAATGGGGCGGGGTGATGGAAAGTGGGAGAATGGGGCGGGGTGATGGAAAGCAGGAGAATAGGGCGGGGAAATGGAAAGTGGGAGAATGGGGCGGGGTGATGGAAAGCGGGAGAACGGGGCGGGGTGATGGAAGGAGGGAGAATGGGGCGGGGTGATGGAAGGAAGGAGGGCGGGGTGATGGGAAGGAGAATGGGGCGGGGTGATGGAAGGAGGGAGAATGGGTCGGGGTGATGGAAAGCGGGAGAATGGGGCGGGGTGATGGAAAGCGGGAGAATGGGGCGGGTGATGGAAAGCGGGAGAATGGGGCGGGGTGATGGAAGGAGGGAGAATGGGGCGGGGTGATGGAAAGCGGGAGAATCGAGAAGGGTGATGTTAGCGGGAGAATGGGGCGGGGTGATGGAAAGTGGGAGAATGGGGCGGGGTGATGGAAGGAGGGAGAATGGGGCAGGGTGATGGAAAGCGGGAGAATGGGGCGGTGTGATGGAAAGCGGGAGAATGGGGCGGTGTGATGGAAAGCGGGAGAATGGGGCAGGGTGATGGAAAGCGGGAGAATGGGGCGGGGTGATGGAAAGCGGGAGAATGGGGCGGGGTGATGGAAAGCGGGAGAATGGGGCATGGTGATGGAAAGCGGGAGAATGGGGTGGGCCGATGGAAAGCGGGAGAATGGGGCGGGGTGATGGAAGGAGGGAGAATGGGGCGGGGTGATGGAAGGAGGGAAAATGGGGCGGGTGATGAAAGGAGGGAGAATGGGGCGGGGTTATGGAAAGCGGGAGAATGGGGCGGGGTGATGGATAGCGGGAGAATGGGGCGGGGTGATGGAAGGAGGGAGAATGGGGCGGGGTGATGGAAAGCGGGAGATTGGGGCAGGGTGATGGAAAGCGGGAGAATGGGGCGGGGTGATGGAAAGCGGGAAAATGGGGCGGGGTGATGGAAAGCGGGAGAATGGGGCTGGGTGATGGAAAGCAAGAGAATGGGGCGGGGTGATGGAAAGCGGGAGAATGGGGTGGGGTGATGGAAGGAGGGAGAATGAGGCGGGGTGATGGAAGGAGGGAGAATGGGGCGGGGTGATGGAAAGCGGGAGAATGGGGCGGGGTGATGGAAAGCGGGAGAATGGGGCGGAGTGATGGAAAGCGGGAGAATGGGGCGGGGTGATGGAAAGCGGGAGAATGGGGCGGGGTGATGGAAAGCGGGAGAATGGGGCGGGGTGTTGGAAAGCGGGAGAATGGGGCGGGGTGATGAAAAGCGGGAGGATTGGTCGGGGTGATGGAAAGCCGGAGAACGGGGCGGGGTGATGGAAAGCGGGAGAATGGGGCGGGTGATGGAATGCGGGTGAATGGGGCGGGGTGATGGAAAGCGGGAGAATGGGGCGGGGTGATGGAAAGCAGGAGAATGGGGCGATGTGATGGAAAGCGGGAGAATGGGGCGAGTGATGGAAAGCGGGAGAATGGGGCGGGGTGATGGAAGGAGGGAGAATGGGGAGGGGTGATGGAAAGCGGGGGAATGGGGCGGGATGATGGGAAGCGGGAGAATGGGGCGGGGTGATGGAAAGCGGGAGAATGGGGCAGGGTGATGGAAAGCGGGAGAATGGGGCGGGGTGATGGAAGGAGGTAGAATGAGGCGGGGTGATGGAAGGAGGGAGAATGGGGCAGGGTGATGGAAAGCGAGAGAATGGGGCGGGGTGATGGAAAGCGGGAGAATGGGGCGGGCTGATGAAAAGTGGGAGAATGGGGCGGGGTGATCAAAGGAGGGAGAATGGGGCGGGGTGATGGAAGGAGGGAGAATGCGGCGGGGTGATGGAAGGAGGGACAATGAGGCGGGGTGATGGAAAGTGGGAGAATGTGGCGGGGTGATGGAAAGCTGGAGAATGGGGCTGGGTGGTGGAAAGCGGGAGAATGGGGCGGGGTGATGGAAAGCGGGAGAATGGGGCGGGGTGATGGAAAGCGAGAGAATGGGGCAGGGTGATGGAAGGAGAGAGAATGGGGCGGGGTGATGGAAAGCGGAAAAATGGGGCGGGGTGATGGAAAGCGGGAGAATGGGGCGGGGTGATGGAAAGCGGGAGAATGGGGCGTTGTGATGCAAAGCGGGAGAATGGGGCGGGGTGATGGAAGGAGGTAGAATGAGGCGGGGTGATGGAAGGAGGGAGAATGGGGCAGGGTGATGGAAAGCGAGAGAATGGGGCGGGGTGATGGAAAGCGGGAGAATGGGGCGTAGTGATGGAAAGCGGGAGAATGGGGCGGGGTGATGGAAAGCGGGAGAATGGGGCGTGGTGATGGAAAGCGGGAGAATGGGGCGGGGTGATGGAAAGCGGGAGAATGGGGCGGGGTGATGGGAGAATGGGGCGGGGTGATGGAAAGCGGGAGAATGGGGCGGGGTGATAGAAAACGGGAGAATGGGGCGGGGTGATGGAAAGCGGGAGCATGGGGCGGGGTGATGGAAGGAGGTAGATTGAGGCGGGGTGATGGAAGGAGGGAGAATGGGGCGGGGTGATGGAAAGCGGGAGAATGGGGCGGGGTGATGGAAAGCGGGAGAATGGGGCGGGGTGATGGAAAGCGGGAGAATGGGGCGGGGTGATGGAAAGCGGGAGAAAAGGGCGGGGTGATGGAAAGCGGGAGAATGGGACGGGGTGATGGAAAGCGGGAGAATGGTGCGGGGTGATGGAAAGCGGGAGAATGGGGAGGGGTGATGGAAAGCGGGAGAATGGGGCGGGGTGATGGAAAGCGGGAGAATGGGGTGGGGTGATGGAAAGCGGGAGAATGGGGCGGGGTGATGGAAGGAGGGAGAATGGTGCGGGGTTATGGAAAGCGGGAGAATGGGGCGGGGTGATGGAAAGCGGGAGAATGGGGCGGGGTGATAGAAGGAGGGAGAATGGGGCGGGGTGATGGAAAGCGGGAGATTGGGGCAGGGTGATGGAAAGCGGGAGAATGGGGCGGGTAATGGAAAGCGGGAGAATGGGGCGGGGTGATGGAAGGAGGGAGAATGGGGCGGGGTGATGGAAGGAGGGAGAAGGGGGCGGGGTGATGGAAAGCTGAAGAATGGAGCGGGGTGATGGAAAGCGGGAGAATGGGGCAGGGTGATGGAAAGCGGGAGAATGGGGCGGGGTGATGGAAAGTGGGAGAATGGTGCGGGGTGATGGAAAGCGGAGAAATGGGGCAGGGTGATGGAAAGCGGGAGAATGGGGCGGGGTGAAGGAAGGAGGGAGAATGGGGCGGGGTGATGGAAGGAGGAAGAAGGGGGCGGGGTGATGGAAAGCGGGAGAATGGGCCGGGGTGTTGGAAAGCGGGAGAATGGGGCGGGGTGATGAAAAGCGGGAGAATGGGGCGGGGTGATGGAAAGCGGGAGAATGGGGCGTTGTGATAGAAAGCGGGAGAATGGGGCGGGGTGATGGAAGGAGGGAGAATGGGGAGGGGTGATGGAAACCGGGGGAATGGGGCGGGATGATGGGAAGCGGAAGAATGGGGCGGGGTGATGGAAAGCGGGAGAATGGGGCCGTGTGATGGAAAGCGGGAGAATGGGGCGGGGAGATGGAAAGTGGGAGAAAGGGGTGGGGTGATGGAAAGCGGGAGAATGGGGCGGGGTGAAGGAAGGAGGGAGAATGGGGCGGGGTGATGGAAGGAGGAAGAAGGGGGCGGGGTGATGGAAAGCGGGAGAATGGGCCGGGGTGTTGGAAAGCGGGAGAATGGGGCGGGGTGATGAAAAGCGGGAGAATGGGGCGGGGTGATGGAAAGCGGGAGAATGGGGCGTTGTGATGGAAAGCGGGAGAATGGGGCGGGTGATGGAAAGCGGGTGAATGGGGCAGGGTGATGGAAAGCGGGAGAATGGGGCGGGGTGATGGAAAGCAGAAGAACGGGGCGGGGTGATGGAAAGCGGGAGAATGGGGCGAGGTGATGGAAAGCGGGAGAATGGGGCGGGTGATGGAAAGCGGGAGAATGGGGCGGGAGATGGAAAGCGGGAGAAAGGGGCGGGGTGATGGAAGGAGGGAGAATGGGGAGGGGTGAGGGAAAGCGGGGGAATGGGGCGGGATGATGGGAAGCGGAAGAATGGGGTGGGGTGATGGAAAGCGGGAGAGTGGGGCCGTGTGATGGAAAGCGGGAGAATGGGGCGGGGAGATGGAAAGCGGGAGAAAGGGGCGGGGTGATGGAAAGCGGGAGAATGGGGCGGGCTGATGGAAAGCGGGAGAATGGGGCGGGGTGATGGAAGGAGGGAGAATGGGGCGGGGTGATGGAAGGAGAGAGAAGGGGGCGGGGTGATGGAAAGTGGGAAAATGTGGCGGGGTGATGGAAAGCGGGAGAATGGGGTGGGGTTATGGGAAGCGGGAGAATGGGGCGGGGTGATGGAAAGCGGGAGAATGAAGCGGGGTGATGGAAAGCGGGAGAATGGGGTGGGCTGATGGAAAGCGGGAGAATGGGGAGGGGTGATGGAAGGAGGGAGAATGGGGCGGGGTGATGGAAAGTGGGAGAATGGGACGGGGTGATGGAAAACGGGAGCATGGGGCGGGGTGATGGAAGGAGGTAGAATGAGGCGGGGTGATGGAAGGAGGGAGAATGGGGCGGGGAGATGGAAAGCGGGAGAATGGGGCGGGGTGATGGAAAGCGGGAGAATGGGGCGGGGTGATGGAAAGCGGGAGAATGGGGCGGGGTGACGGAAAGCGGGAGAATGGGGCGGGGTGATGGAAAGCGGGAGAATGGGGCGGGGTGATGGAAAGCGGGAGAATGGGGCGGGGTGATGGAAAGCGGGAGAATGGGGCGGGGTGATGGAAAGCGGGAGAATGGGGCGGGCTGATGGAAAGCGGGAGAATAGGGCGGGGTGATGGAAGGAGGGAGAAAGGGGCGGGGTGATGGAAGGAGGGAGAACGGGGCGGGTGATGGAAGGAGGGATAATGGGGCGGGGTTATGGAAAGCGGGAGAATGGGGCGGGGTGATGGAAAGCGGGAGAATGGGGCGGGGTGATGGAAGGAGGGAGAATGGGGCGGGGTGATGGAATGCGGGAGATTGGGGCAGGGTGATGGAAAGCGTGAGAATGGGGCAGGGTGATAGAAAGCGGGAAAATGGGGCGGGGTGATGGAAAGTGGGAGAATGGGGCGGGGTGATGGAAAGCGGGAGAATGGGGCGGGTGATGGAAAGTGGGTGAATGGGGCGGGGTGATGGAAAGCAGGAGAATGGGGCGGGGTGATGGAAAGCGGGAGATGGGGCGAGGTGATGGAAAGCGGGAGAATGGGGCGTGTAATGGAAAGCGGGAGAATCGGGCGGGGTGATGGAAGGAGGGAGAATGGGGAGGGGTGATGGAAAGCGGGGGAATGGGGCGGGATGATGGGAAGCGGGAGAATGGGGCGGGGTGATGGAAAGCGGGAGAATGGGGCGGGGTGATGGAAAGCGGGAGAATGGGGCAGGGAGATGGAAAGCGGGAGAAAGGGGCGGGGTGATGGAAAGCGGGAGAATGGGGCGGGCTGATGGAAAGCGGGAGAATGGGGCGGGGTGATGGAAGGAGGGAGAATGGGGCGGGGTGATGGAAGGAGGGAGAAGGGGGCGGGGTGATGGAAAGCGGAAGAATGGCGCGGGGTGATGGAAAGCGGGAGAATGGGGCGGGGTGATGGAAAGCGGGAGAATGGGGCGGGGTGATGGAAAGCGGGAGAATGGTGCGGGGTGATGGAAAGCGGGAGAATGGAGCAGGGTGATGGAAAGCGGGAGAATAAGGCGGGGTGAAGGAAGGAGGGAGAACGGGGCGGGGTGGTGGAAAGAGAAAGAAGGGGGCGGGGTGATGGAAAGCGAGAGAATGGGCCGGGGTGTTGGAAAGCGGGAGAATGGGGCGGGGTGATGAAAAGCGGGAGAATGGGGCGGGGTGATGGAAAGCGGGAGAATGGGGCGGGGTGATGAAAAGCGGGAGAATGGGGCGGGTGATGTAAAGCGGGTGAATGGGGCAGGGTGATGGAAAGCGGGAGAATGGGGCGGGGTGATGGAAAGCAGAAGAATGGGGCGGGGTGATGGAAAGCGGGAGAATGGGGCGAGGTGATGCAAAGCGGGAGAATGGGGCGGGTGATGGAAAGCGGGAGAATGGGGCGGGGAGATGGAAAGCGGGAGAAAGGGGCGGGGTGATGGAAGGAGGGAGAATGGGGAGGGGTGATGGAAAGCGGGGGAACGGGGCGGGATGATGGGAAGCGGAAGAATGGGGCGGGGTGATCGAAAGCGGGAGAATGGGGCGGGGTGTTGGAAAGCGGGAGAATGGGGCGGGGTGATGAAAAGCGGGAGAATGGGGCGGGGTGATGGAAAGTGGGAGAATGGGGCGGGGTGATGGAAAGTGGGAGAATGGGGCGGGTGATGGAAAGCGGGTGAATGGGGCGGGGTGATGGAAAGCAGGAGAATGTGGCGGGGTGATGGAAAGCGGGAGATGGGGCGAGGTGATGGAAAGCGGGAGAATGGGGCGTGTAATGGAAAGCGGGAGAATGGGGCGGGGTGATGGAAGGAGGGAGAATGGGGAGGGGTGATGGAGAGCGGGGGAATGGGGCGGGATGATGGGAAGCGGGAGAATGGGGCGGGGTGATGGAAAGCGGGAGAATGGGGCGGGGTGATGGAAAGCGGGAGAATGGGGCAGGGAGATGGAAAGCGGGAGAAAGGGGCGGGGTGATGGAAAGCGGGAGAATGGGGCGGGCTGATGGAAAGCGGGAGAATGGGGCGGGGTGATGGAAGGAGGGAGAATGGGGCGGGGTGATGGAAGGAGGGAGAAGGGGGCGGGGTGATGGAAAGCGGAAGAATGGCGCGGGGTGATGGAAAGCGGGAGAATGGGGCGGGGTGATGGAAAGCGGGAGAATGGGGCGGGGTGATGGAAAGCGGGAGAATGGTGCAGGGTGATGGAAAGCGGGAGAATGGGGCAGGGTGATGGAAAGCGGGAGAATGGGGCGGGGTGAAGGAAGGAGGGAGAACGGGGCGGGGTGATGGAAGGAGGAAGAAGGGGGCGGGGTGATGGAAAGCGAGAGAATGGGCCGGGGTGTTGGAAAGCGGGAGAATGGGGCGGGGTGATGAAAAGCGGGAGAATGGGGCGGGGTGAAGGAAAGTGGGAGAATGGGGCAGGGTGATGGAAAGCGGGAGAATGGGGCCGGTGATGGAAAGCGGGTGAATGGGGCAGGGTGATGGAAAGCGGGAGAATGGGGCGGGGTGATGGAAAGCAGAAGAATGGGGCGGGATGATGGAGAGCGGGAGAATGGGGCGAGGTGATGGAAAGCGGGAGAATGGGGCGGGTGATGGAAAGCGGGAGAATGGGGCGGGGAGTTGGAAAGCGGGAGAAAGGGGCGGGGTGATGGAAGGAGGGAGAATGGGGAGGGGTGATTGAAAGCGGGGGAATGGGGCGGGATGATGGGAAGCGGAAGAATGGGGCGGGGTGATGGAAAGCGGGAGAATGGGGCGGTGTGATGGAAAGCGGGAGAATGGGGCGGGGAGATGGAAAGCGGGAGAAAGGGGCGGGGTGATGGAAAGCGGGAGAATGGGGCGGGCTGATGGAAAGCGGGAGAATGGGGCGGGGTGATGGAAGGAGGGAGAATGGGGCGGGGTGATGGAAGGAGAGAGAAGGGGTCGGGGTGATGGAAAGTGGGAAAATGTGGCGGGGTGATGGAAAGCGGGAGAATGGGGCGGGGTGATGGAACGCGGGAGAATGGAGCGGGGTGATGGAATGAGGGAGAATGGGGCAGGGTGATGGAAAGCGGGAGAATGGGTCGGGGTGATGGAAAGCGGGAGAATGGGGCGGGGTGATGGAAGGAGGGAGAATGGGGCGGGGTGATGGAAAGCGGGAGAATGGGGCGGGGTGATGGAAAGCGGGAGAACGGGGCGGGGTGATGGAACGCGGGAGAATGGGGCAGGGTGATGGAAGGAGGGAGAATGGGGCGGGGTGATGGAAAGCGGGAGAATGGGGCGGGGTGATGGAAGGAGGGAGAATGGGGCGGGGTGATGGAAAGCGGGAGAATGGGTCGGGGTGATGGAAAGCGGGAGAACGGGGCGGGGTGATGGAAAGCAAGAGAATGGGGCGGGGTGATAGAAGGAG